GCGTCTGACTCAATTATTTTATATGTTTTAATAGTGACTCAATTAATTGTGTCAAATAATTGTATCAATTGCGTCAATTGCGTCAAGGATCTATCTATTTCTACCATATATATAAGGTAAGCTATCTATTCTTTTTCTGAAAAAAAAATATGGAAGAGAAAAACTTGTCAAAGCTCACTTTTTGGAGAAGGTTGTCACTTCTTATTTTTTCCTTAAGAAAATGAAGTTGACTGGCCAGAGAAGTTATGAGATGAGGTACAGTATTCTTGAAAAGAAGGAGAAGTCTAGAGAGAAAAAACTTCAGGAAGAAGGAAAAATCTAACTTTGGCAGGAAAGAAGAGAAAAGAGAAAAGGGAAGGAGAGAAATATAAAAAGGAGAGATAGAAGAGAAGAGAAAAAAAAAGGGGAAGAAAGATAAAAGGTTTGTAATTAAGAAAAGAGAAAAGAAAGAGAAGAGACGAAGAAAAAATAAACAACTTAAAAAGTTTCCTAAAAAGGAAATTTTCAAGTATAGAAGGGAGAGTGGGAAAAAGTTTTTTTTTTTTTTTTTAATAATAGGTTTTATACAAAGTTAAATATAGGGCTTCTAATGGTATCACTTCGATATCACTTTAATATCAGTTCGATATTTAAATTTACTATAAATTTATATGAGTGGATTATAACCCATATATTAAATTTACTATAGATCGGTACTATTTCGATACCACTTTAGTACTGGTTCAATACTTTTCGGAGCTCTAGTTAAATAACAATATCTATAAAAAAATTCAATACAATTCTATTTATTGAATACTTTTATTATATTTAAAAAATAAATATATCAAATTTTTTTTATAATTTAAAAATCAAATTATATAAAGTAGTTATAGTATTTTTATATAATATGATATCTTTAAATTGATAAAATATCATTATTTTAATTATATTTACTATATATCAAATTAATTTTGAAAAACAAGTATATTAATTCTAATTATAACTTAAAAACAAATTTATATATTTGATTGCAATACTTTTGTATAATTAAGTATATTTTTTCTTTATAAAATTAACTTTAATTATAGTTATAATATATATTTTTGAAATTTATTCTAATATATTTTGTTGTTGAATAAATAATTATAAAAATTAACTTTTTTAAATTAGCTATGTTAATTTATTAAAAAATTATAAGAAATATATATTATTTTATCATAAGTTTATATTTCTCCATGTTATTAGTAATAAAAAAAATAGTAAATATATATTACTTTAAACTAAAAAAAAAAAATAATAATAAAATAATAATAAATATTCAATTTAAAAAAATTCATATTTAACAAATATATTAATCAATATATTATTATTATTACATAGTATATTATAAATTTTTAGATTTGAAAAAACAAAATCAAAAAAATATATAAAAAAAAATATTATTATTATTAAATATTAAAACGAATAAATTAATTTTGATATTTTAAATTAAATCAATATACAAATATACAGTACATGTAATATACAGTATTTATTTATTATTAAAAATATATTTATAATATATTTACTTTGTTATATACAGTATAATATAATAAAAAAAGATATAAAATAATATAAATACTGTAAATAATAAACGGTATATGTATTAATAATAAGAACGAGGAATTTTAGAATATGATTATGCATGCGGTATCAATTAAATGCAAATGTGCGTGTTCCAAGATGAAGTGATATAAGATTTAATCAAAGAATTAATTATTTATTTAAAATTCTATAAATTAATTGTATGTATTATATAATACAGTTTTATCATCAAAACTGCTTAATAAAAGAAATAAATGTTTATTCTTTAATCGGTTTAAGGTCCTGTTGAATACGGCTATTGGTTAATGTTTTTTTTTTTTTTAATGAATCTTTTTTAATTGCACTTTTCTAAATTTATTAAGATTTTTTTTTTTTTGTTCAATTTTGGCATTCGCGAATATCACATTTAGCGGGTAGCACGGGGGTTCCCAATTCGGAAACAAAAAAAAAAATAAAGAACAATCACGAATCGATGTTTCATTATAGGTATTTAAAAAAAAAAATGGAAATAGGCTATTGCTAAGTTCTAAATATGATCTTGTGCTTGGTGACTAACTGGTAAAGCGATCGTTACCCTGAAAATCTATTTTAATCTGGTTTTTCTTTTTTGTCATATATAAAAGGAAGACAATAGTTGAAATTGACAATAGAAAGAATTAACCGTAAGAACTTACGATGGAAAGTTTAATTGGTTGTTTCCGGTTTTTCGTTCCAATGATAAATTTTTCGTGCGCTTAACGTTTATTCATATCAACAGCCATAATTGGCAATAATAAAATAAAAATTTTCCTAACTAATAGAGTTTGTCGTGCCTACCCTGTTTAGAATAAGTTGAATAGGGGATAAGAGAAAGATTTGTCAGAGAATTGAAGGAAAGTTCCATGATCATTCACAACATGGTAAAATCAGATGTGATGACGTTGAAGAAAAAAAAAAAAAAGGATGATATTTTTGCCTTTAAGCGCAAGGCAAACTGATCCAAACTACCCCCAAAAAGCCGTCCTGATTATGAACTAGTTATAATTACTAAGCGCCCACTATTTTTTTTAATTTGTGACCAGAAAGGAAGCTAATGAACGAGTATAAAATTTCACAAAATCGATTATACATTAATGGCTTCATGTTGAGGGCCACAGGATTGAAGGGATATTTACACTTTTTGTGGCATGCATGTGCAGCATTCAAACTTTCAAGAAATTTAAATTGTGATGTGTATCTTTGACTAAGAAAAATGTAAGAGTTGCAAGGAACTTCTTATGGGGAGAGGAAGTTGGAATGTAATTTTGTAATGATGCACGGGTACTAGATCTTTGTCAAAGAACGAGAACGGTACCGGTGATGCAACTCTCGAAATTTAAAAACAAAGTGCGAGATTTTTTTTTTTTTTTAAAAAAAAAAAGAATGGATTACACAATGTTTACTTTTCAGGGATGATGGAAAAAAGTATTGAATTGGGTGAATGGTAAGTGGCCGTGTTAATTTACCATATTTGTTTCTTTATATATGCTAGCTACTCAACTAACGAGCATATGGTTTTTTACTTTTAATATAATAAATGATTGAAATACTGATAAGATAACACTCATACATCCAAAAAATTAGTGCGGGTATTGAAGAGACAGGAATACAAGAATGATGAGAGGTAGTATGTAATAATGTGCAAGGGTTTGATGTGCGAGTAAATAACAATCATGATCCGTCGAAAATGGTAATTCTTGAATGAAAATGTGATAGATTCAGTATAAACATTAACTTAAATGTACTTTATTTATTCTTTTTATCACACTCACCCACATACAACCATGTATTTTTTTAATGTTATTTTACGGAGCAAGACTCCGATAGAAATATGTGTGTGTGCGTAATCTGGAAAAACTATTTGCTAATCTTTATTGTGATATTCCTTCAACAGAAATGTGTATCTCAACATTCCGCCGCCACAGAATGTCCAACACAAACTACCTATTCCGCATCTCGTTAGGTCATGTTTTCCACAAATAGGAGTTTCCAAAGGAGTTTACTCCATTCGCCACACAAACTGCTGTCACTTTTTAAGAAAATTCGACTTTTGTCATGTCATATTTATTTTGTGTTTCTTTTCATTCCAAAAACGTCAAGTATATCATTTTGGTATGAGTTATGACTCATCCAAGTTACTAAGTAATCAACAAGACCATCGGCCTCCTCGGTCTCAGTCTCAGATTCACTTCTTTTCTTTTATCAACTTTGTTATGTATTGATGATATACTACTCGTATACAATATATTTTGAATTTTTTTTTATAGTGAAGTGATAGTGTACTTGCCCAATAGAAGGCACCTGGACAAGTTTGGTCAATAATTGATTATTTTTAATAAAGATATTAATAATAAATTTGGTCATCAATGTATACCGTCAATTGACCATTTTGACATCGTCTATTGGTGCGAGTCTAATTCATTCCAACGATGCTTCGAAAATTCTTTCATCCTCATTGAGTTGCTCGTGGGTGCGTCTTTGTTTTTCTTATCATCGATATCTAATTTTGGGAATGTCATTGACTCTCCCCAATTTTTTTCTTATCAACTGTGTAATACGCCTGTTGACACACATGGGTGCGTCTTATTTTGGTTTCTTACCACGCCCGTCTTTGAGTCAACAAATTTGACAATCATATGTGATTACGCACCTGCAGCACGAGCTGATTCGAAAAAGCTCGTCAGAAGGTGAAAACATTCCATCATTGAGGTGTCAATGAACTGATGTGTGATAACACGATGCTCCACCACATGCGTACATCGGATTACGCACGCACACACAGCCTTCGGTCGGTCTAGACAAATTAGGCTGGATAAGGAAGTAATAATAAGTGATATAATTTGACGCTCTTCTAATTGGTTCACGTCGACCGTGTGCAGGTGGGAAAATTCGTTTGACCCCCTAATTGTTTCAAACGGAATTTCAATCCCGCCCATGTCGCACGAGGATAAAAAATTTTAGTAAGCACTATTGTAAAACCTTAAAATATTAATCTTACAAATTAGTACAAGCTACGCATTGTACCTCAACGATTTCCTCACAATTTATTATTGATTAATTTGTGATTAATTATTCAACCTTAATCCCGGCACGCTTGCCAAGAAAAGTTCGATTGTACACTTTTCGGACCTTGAATGAATAATATGGATCCAAGAAAATTTCAAGAAAATTTCACCCAAGAAAAAAAAAATCGGCAGGCACAAGAAAAACTTGGTACCGCCGCGACGGATCAAAGGGTTGTGCGTGCTAGAGCGTGTGACCTTTTTTGATCAGCAGTTGGACCTCGAGACGTTTTTGTGCACCATATTCCTCTTGTCGTCTTGACAAATGAGACTCTTCCACGTCGATGTTTCGTTTTTTGAAAACTTCCTTCGTCGAATTGCAATCGTCCATTTGTCCGATTCTCGTTAGTGCCACCTTTTTGTGTCGTCCGGGTCATTTTGGCATTTCCCATCACACATCATTCGTCATTCCATCGCAATTGATCGAGGACGGGCCGCTCACAACGAAAGAGAGATGAGTCGATGAAAGATAAAATATCCACGTTCTTGGTGTGTGTTCGTGACGTTAGCGCTGCGCGAAATCTTTAATTGACCGTGTCATTGTTTACTTCAAGTCTGCTGCGGCTCTTTCGAATCATCACTCGTTTTGTGATCACCTGTATACGTGTAATGTAAAATTCCTTTTATTTTGTGTTCAAAATAATTTCTAATATTCAGATTGCCCGCTTTATCTTCTACTATAACCTTATCACAAATAAAAAAACGACCTGATCATAGACTATGAACTATGAATGTACAACACTGTTATACATATAATTTATTAAATATGTATTCCATTTTAAAAAAAAATTTCATGTAGGCAAGCATAAAAAAAATGATAAGTGACCGCAACCAGGATTTTTTAGATAAATAGAGACGGAGCAGACAATCTCCTCCTTTTTCTTTACTCTCAACGGGTTCTCTTTCTCTTCGACCACTTGGTCATCTAATTTTACTGTTTCTTGAATTTTCCCTTTTTGACAAAAAAAGAGACCATTACTTTAGCAAAAGCTTCATTTTTTTTTTTTTTTTTTTTTCCTTCACTTTTATCCCAATCTCCATAAGGGATACTGAAAAGAGCGTTCGATTCAATAATAATAAACCAAAATCTTTTTTCTCTATATACCTTTCTCTCCCACTTTTTTTCCCTTTACCTTCTTCGTTTTTCGGAAATTTGGATCTCATCAACATAAAGAAATCAGTTGTGGATTCCTTTCCGTTAAACAAAAGCTCAAAACTCACTTCTATTATTAATTTTATGTCTCTCGATTCTTTGAATTTTTTTTCGCCCGTCCAAGTAATGCATTCTAACCCTTCATTCCCCCAATCGACTACTGTTGCTGAAAACACTGCTAGCCTAAATAACTACTCCGAACCAATCGATTTTACTATTTATTCCCAAGACAATTCTTCTGAACTTGAAAATGATTCTTACCCTAGTATACACCAAGTTCAGCACAATCCTAGTTATTTAGACGAGTCCGATTATTACGCAGTTAACCCCAGTAGTAGTAGTCACCTCCACTCGAATCACCCTGCATCACTTTTGTGTTACACACCACACGACCAATCATCATCTACATTTACTTCGCCACACGGAAACTCCTTAAACGACTGTAATCCGCTGTCTGATTTTCATACAAATATCAATCAGATTTCTCCCCACCCAACTCCTCTCACCACAAGTGAACATTTGTTGGTTGAGAACATTCTGAATTCGCCTTATTCTCCTTATTCGCCATACGTCGATTCTCCGTTTTTCTCTCCAGTGTGCAATAGTTTTCAGGACGTAATACCGTATTCGACAACTCCGGACTTTGGGACACCTTACACCGCCTGCACACCGTTAACTCCCTACACACCACTTATTTCCTTCAATTCCGATCTCTCAACTCCTCGTTTTGTACCTAATACTCCCTCCACTCAGTTCATCGACGTCCCTCTATACGAGACCGACAGTAAACTGAGTAATCTTAATTTATTTGAGGAAACAAAACCTGACCCTTCGGACCTCAGAATACAATATATATATCCTTACCACACCGTGAAAATGGAAGTCATCTCACCTCCCATTGAGACCACCGATAATGACAAGAAACCAGAGAACGCTTTGGTTCCAGGCACCCCAAATAGCGATGGTTCGACTTCTGGCTCCGCCTCAGAAAAATCGGTTTCATCGCTCTCGCCTGCCATTGACCTTTCCGAACATCAAACGGAAACCAATTCTGGTTCCCAGGTTGGTGAGAACCCCGAAGTAAATGCCGAGGGACCAAGATCACCTTCGTTGCCAAACTCTCCCTACACAACGTCCACCTTTCCCGCAATTCGACCTCGCCCGCATGAGGATGACGATGATGGTTCAGAGCCTGCAATCCGAAGGAGCAAACGTCAGAGGACCAGGAGTGTTTCCGAGAATGAAGAAGAGAATGAGGACGACGAGAAAAAGTATATGTGTCCTGATTGCGGTCGCGGGTTCAACCGAAAGTTCAATATGCAAACGCATCGAGCCACGCATGACCCGAATCGGGTGAAGCCATTTGCCTGCGAACATCCAAATTGCGGTTCGAGGTTCACTCGAAAACACGATTTAAAGAGGCATGTCAATGGTATCCACAGGGGTGAACGGGTGCACTCCTGTACGACTTGCAATAAACCATTCAGTCGCAAAGATGCTTGGAAGAGGCATGTCACAACGTGCGGCAAGATGTAGACTATTTAATGGAGATTATGTTAACTAAAAATCTTATTTCCGAAAATCTTCCGGACACCTCATATGGTTAGAAAATCCATCTCGAAAGCCGCATATTTTTATCGAGAATAAATTTATTTTTGATGGACTCTATCGATAATTACTCTTTAGCTTGTAGTTGAGTTGTTAAATTAAAAGCCATGGTGATTAAAAAAAAAAAAAAAAAAAAAATTTTTTTTTATCATTATTGCAATCTTCATGTGTTATGTATGAACCACCGTGTAAAGAAGAGAAAAAAAAAAAAAATCACTTTATGGCGAACAAAAACAACTCAAATTTCGTCCAAGGAAATTCTCGCATTAAAAAAACTCATCTGCAATCCCGGCCGTGTTTAATCGCATCTTTCAAAAAATAAAAAATGCGCAAACATCTAAAGGGCCGTATTCGGGTTACGGTAAGGCAATATAATTAAAGGCCACTCAAGCGCCTCCGCCTTGCTTTTCTCCGTTACGGTTGTAGGACGTCGATTTTGATCTTTTTTCACAAAGAAAAAAACATTTCTTTGCATTATAATTTTTTTTTTTTTTTTTAATTGCAAGTCCTTTTTCCAGATCAAAATCTTGTCCAATTCCCTTTTTTTCTTTCCATTCTAAATAAGCTTACAAAAAGAACATTTTTCTTTTGTCCCTTACTTTTACATATCATATACCTAAAAGATCATTAAATATCTTTTTTTTTTCTTCTTTCCTAAAAGATTGAACATTATTTATCTTTTTCTTTCTTATTTTGAAATCCCCGGATGACACTTTTCGCGCGTGGGGAAAGAAATCGTTATCTTTGAAAGAGTTTTATTACTTTTTCTCTACTTACTGATAAGCAACCTTTGGCTTGTCATTTTTCGTTTTCGTTTTTATTTTTTTTATTATTTTTTTTTATATTCATATTGGCACCTTCCCTGAAAGTTGAGAATGACAGGAGATCAAGACATGAATTCGAATTTCGTGTCCTTGTGAAATTCTTGATCACCATTTGGTCATCTAAAGAGGGAATTCAAATTTACGTTTACGAGGTGCCAAGAGATCGTTACATTTATAGTTTATGAGACGCGAATCGAGAGTTTTTTTTTTTAGATAGATTTCCGTGACGTATAATGTCGGATAAAAAAAAGTAGGAGCAATGGCAACGGGGGAGATAAACTCGCCGACTTAGAAATTCATCCCTTTGTTGTACATAATATGTATATGCGTACATAAAAAAAAATTTTTTTTTCTTGATCGAGATGTATATTTACAGTATATTCTCAAAAAAAAAGAACAGATTAAATAAATAAAAAGAATTCTCGTTTCTCATCATTAAGTCTCTTTCGCTGAAGTAATTAAAAATAAAGCATTTTTTTTTCAATTGACATCGCTGGCGACCAAATTAATAAATTTTACATTCGGATCACTAAACAATGCAGATTTTGAAACGCTGCGGGACTGCGGTCCACGATAAATATTTGATCTGTTTTTTTTCGATGCAAAAAAAAAAAAAATTTTAAAGTTTTCAGACGTGGCAGGTGAACCTTAACAGTTATGTAGTACAGATTACCACCAATCCAATGGGGTGCCTGGTGACTTGAATAAAACAACTGGTCACATTCTTTAACATTGAGAGGAAGTATGAATCCCCCCACCTTGCCGGCCGAAGAGGTTATCCCGTTGATCCTAAGGTTAGTTGGCAGCAACAACGTGCTTTGCGGGGTTGAGGAGTGCGTTATGGGATCGCGCTTTCTGTTTAAAATGGAAAGTTAGTAAACTTCTTTTTTCCTTATTCATCGGATTTCAATGCACCATAACTCTTTCTTCTTTCTCTTTTTTTTTTTCTTCATCGCAGTCAATTGTGTGAATATGGTTACACCCAACTGGCCCAAGTTGTCGCCGAGCAGACGGATACCCCTGTCGATTTGACGCCTAGTTCGAAATTAGCGGAATTGCTCTACATCGCAAAGGAACAAGGTCGAAACACCGTCGCCTCTTGATT